AATACGAAAATGCTTTCATTATGATAATTCAAGTTCAAGAACTGACATTTAATGTTTTAGAACATCAAATCGGGATGGTTGCCAGCTTTACCAAAAAATGGGAAATCACTCTGCCCAGTGTTTACTCTGGTAAGATAAGACATAGTAGGTATTCAGCGCAGGGAAATTCAAAGACACTTTCTTTTCTTAAGAATCAGTAGATAAAGCTATAATAGTTTGTGTTGAAGCAGTTTTCACAGAAAATGCCTTTCTCTATTTTCTATCTAGTTGGCATTAACTGAATCAGTTGTCCAGCGTGAAAAAAAACTTTTTTTCTATTGCTTAAAAATATACTGTTTCCCACTCCTCTCTCCACTGCAGGCTCCCAGCAGGTTGGGTTTTTTTCCCCTCAACTCTGTCTTCTATTAACATTTTCATAGATAAACTGGCAGGGACACCTTCCACTACACCAGGCTGCTCAAAGCCTCATCCAGCCTGGCCTTCAACACCTCCAGGGATGGGGCATCCACAGCTTCTCTATTTCACTGGTACAAAGTTACGTACAAATTGCCTTGTATTGGGTTTGTGTGGCGGGGTTTTGGTAGCAAGACGAGGGGCTACAGGGGTGGCTCCTGCAATAAGCTGCTGGAAGCTTCCCTGGCTCCAAGCTGGACCCACTGCTGGCCAAGGCCAAGCCTACCTGTGACAGCGGGAGTACCTCTGTGACAACAGATTTAAGAATGGAAAAAAAAAAAACCTGCTGGGAACCTGCAGCAGAGAGAGGAGTGAGATGTGCAAGAAATAACTACTGAGACACCACCAAGATCAGTGAAGAAAGGAGGGGGAGGAGGTGTGCCAGAGCAGAGACTCCTCTGCATCCTGTGGTGAGGCAGCAAGCTGGTCCCGGCAGGCCATGGAGGGTAACGGTGGAGCAGAGATCCACCTGAAGCCTGTGGAGCACCCAAGACCTGGTCAGGGGGCTGGGCCTGAAGGAGGCCGTGAGTCTGTGTGCGGGACCCACGCCGGAGGCATTTGTGAAGAACCGCAGCCCACACAGGACTGTCTCCCGTGGCAGGGACCCCAGGCTGTAGTGGGGGAAGAGTGTGAGGAGTCCTCCTCCTGAGGAGGAAGGAGCAGCAGAAACAACATGTGATGAACTGACCACAACCCTATTCCCTGTGCCGCTGCACTGCTGTCGGGGAGGAGATAGAGAAATGGGAAGTAAAGTTAAGCCTGGGAAGAAGGGAGGGGGGGGGGGAAGGGGTTCTAAGATTTAGTTTTTATTTCTCGGGGGAGGTATTTTTAAGATTTGGTTTTAGTTCTCACTATCCTATTCTAATTGGTAAAAAATTAAACTGATTTTTTCCCTGAGTCTGTTTTCCCCTTGTCAGTAATTGGTGAACGATCCCTCCCTGTCCTTGTCTCAACCCACAAGCCTTTTGTTTGTATTTGCTGCTCCTGGGAGGAGGTGAGCTTACTCTTAAGGGTGGTGCTTTTGCCAGCTGGGCCTAAACCACAACATGCCCATATTTCTTTTTCCAATACATCACTATTCAGAGCTTTGGCACATCATAGATTTCCTTCTAACAATAATCTTTATTATTTTCTCTTGAACAGATCAGCTCCACAGAACAGAATCCTGGTAAGAATAAGCATGCAAAACACATGCACAAGAACAATAAAAACATGCGGATCTCACTGATACCAGCTGTGTGGGGCACACTCATCAATTAGTTTTATTATGACCTTCCTTTCACAACTGATTTTTATTTAATTTCTCTGCTTTTCAATAGTAAACTCACTGTCTTCACTTGCCATGTTTGAGGTAGTTAGTCACGGTTCTACTGCACTCCCAGCAAGGCTTGCAAGTGAATAGCATCTCTGGTTAACAGTGTGAGGCAAGAGACCAACTGTAATGCAGTACAAATCTAAGGAGGCAGGTGACTGCCTGGGAAAATATTTCTTTCATCTATATCGTACTGATACCAAACTTATTTCTGAAACCAGGTAAGGAAGAAAACTAGCCAGATTCAATCCTGAAACAGGCATGTAGACATGGGAGGCATGTCCATTACACCAGAGTGAAAGTTCCTTTCAGGGTCTTTCACCTACTGCTTTTCCCCTTAGAAGATTCTTAATTTCTGAGCTCTTTTGTTGCAAATGATGCAACAGAAGAAGCTTTGAAATACCAGATCAATAAACCCTGAAACACCAGGATCAATGTCTCCATGGTTCTCACGGCTGCAGTATAAAATATTGTAAATATTACTGTGTTATAATGAACACCATGACTTTATTTGTTGTAGTCATTATAAATAACTCTTAATGGCTAATCATTATACATCAATGAGATTTCTGACTTCAAGGCAAATATCAAAAGTTATGCCTTTTAGCATTCATGCAAGGCAAGCACTACTGTATTCAGAACAACAAGGCAATGTTAGCACTACATTAAACCACTGATTATGTAAGCACAACTTTACACATGCAGATGCCTCAACATACGCTAAAAAGAAGTTGATCTAATTTGTAAAATGATCTCATTTTCTTTTAACCTCAAAAAGTTTAGTTCTTCTAATCAGTGCTATACACCTTTTCTATTTATACTGAAAACTATAAACATACCTGAATGTTGTTTCAGATAACATTGTAAACCTTTTATCTACCCACTCTTTTAGAAACCCCATAATTATCTGTGAGTCTGCATTTCATTGCAGTATCGAAGACGTATAATTATATCCAACCAATAACACACAAAGAAGAGTATTTTCTGGGTAATGTTGAAGCTATTATAAACATATCTGCAGTAAATAGGATAATTCCTTGCACTATGATCTGCACATGATGAATCTAAGGCTTCTCAGAGTTCAGGAATTTCAGTGGTACATCACAAAAGTGCAGGAACAGTCTCCAACACTAATGTTTTGAAATAAAATATCTTGCTTAATCTAGCATTTCTTCTTTCCATTATTGTTACTGACATAACTCACTGATGTACAATCCACTAAGTATTCTTGATTATGGCCTTATTTAAAAGTTCATACTTAATTTTAAATAAATGACCTGTTCTTAGCTATCATTTTCACTCTTTTACTGTACCTTCAACACTTTCACAGTATTTAAATACATGAGGGGACAGATAAATATGTAAGTTGTGGTAATTTAACTTTGGCTGTCTGCCAGATGCCCACCAAGCCACTTTATCACTCCCCCTCATCAGGACCAGAGCAGAAAATGGGATGAAAAAGCTCCTGGGTTGAGATAAGGACAGGGAGATCACTCACTAGTTAGCATCACAGGCAAAAACAGACCTGACTTGGAGAAGATTAATTTGATTTATTGACAATTAAAATAAGAGTAAACTAATACCTCCACCCAAGGGTAATCCTTTACATTCTTGAAGTCATTAATATCTTAACCCTGCAGTCACCTGTGATTTACCAGTTTGTGAGCTTAAAGTTTTGTTTCTACCATTGGTAGAACGTACAAAAATCTCATTTGGCTTTTTTGTTACGTAGACATGCCCTTGCTGCATTTAAGAAAAGAAACCATTTTATGCAAACTATGGCCAAAAAGGCCTTAAATTCATTCTATACAACAGTTCAGTGGTTGTTTTCAAGACATTTAAAGCACTTGTTCAAAGTGTAAGCTCTGTGTTTAATTTCTTCAAAGAAATAATTTCCTCAGTATTAAATTCTATCAATTGCCATATTTGACATAACTTTGTCAGAAATTCTAGATGTGCACAAATTTCATCTTGCTAACACCTTTTGATTAAAGAAATAAAAATATGAAGCGTCGTAGGGCCAGAGAAATGGATCTTAACTTTTACTTTTGAATTTTGTCCCCATCTGTGGGATAGAGACTGCTCAAAGGCTCTTGACGCATTTTTTGATGATCTATAAATCAGAAATTGGATCAGAAGTCCTCAGAAAAAAAGGATAAAACAAGCAAACAACCCTTCCTTCCCCCCCAAAGACATCTACCATTGCTATTATGAATATCCTAATCACTTGATTAAATATCCTTTTTTCTTCTTGCAAAGTGGAGCATAAGGATGGCTCTCACACAGGTCTATGTAAACTTAGAGGTAGAAATGCACCAGTGTAGATAAATGGCTTCTGAAATGTAATCAGGTTTTCACTGAGCCCTCTGGCTTTCTGGTTAATAAACTCAGGTGTAAAAGAGCAGGCCTTCTATGCCTTTCTGATCAATTAATGCGGTGTGATGCAGATAGCAAAATAAAACAGAAATTAGGAGGCAGAATATAGCCCTGTAGCAGCCAATACAGATGTTGACAGTCCTTTACAAAACATTCCTGAGCTGTGGAGCTAATTTTTGTTTTATTACATCTAAGGAAGTCCATTACATTGCATTCAGATAAAATGATACACCTGGAAACAGAATATAGCCAGTGCTGCCAGGTGTCTATACCTTGAATTTAAAGACACTGGCATCATAACTTAGCTTTATTGCTCTATGTTGACTCAAGTGGTATTATCAGAACACCTAGTACATTTGGTTTAACGTGTAGGTATAAAGTATACATGATTTTAATACCGTAGATCAGACAATGAAATAAATTATGCAACTTTATAACAGGCCTTCATGAAATAAAAGTGAATTTGTGAACTTCAGTGATTTCTCACACAGTCTAAGGTCAAATACGATATAAACAGTCTTACACACAAACAGCTCTACTGATTCTAATACAATATTAGTGTACCCATTACATTGCTTCATACCATTGGCTTCTGGGAATTCATTTAGAGAATTACATAAAAACACAATGGCATTTGGCACACAAGAAGGAAAACACTCTTAGGGGAAACAACAAGTTTCAACATCTCTCCATACCTATCTAATATCGGACATTTCTTAGAAATGTCTGCAATGCACCAAGTACAGCAGCTGGACTGCAGAAATAAATCATATAAGTGAAAAACGTTGTTGTCTACATATGTTTTTGTTTTGTTTCTCTTTTTTCTTTTTTTAAATCAAAGCCAAAATTTTATACTTACTTTATTAGCATTGATAGCTGTGATGACCCACACACATTGAGCATTGCTGTCATACTGGAATGGAAAATTGGGTGATGTAAAGGTGCCTCCAGGTCCCTGAAGATTTGATCCGCAAGTCTTGACTGTCAAAATAAAGTTCACCGTTTAATTCACATACAAAATACATGTAGCAGACTCATAAACCAAACTCTAACTTACATTAATCAAGATGTGAAAGATTAAAAAAACCATTGACCAAAAATATAACCACCTCATACAAGATAATAGAATATTCATGTCTAGTTATTCTGAAAAAGTAGAATACACTCTCTTGTGTCCAAGCATACAATCTTAAAAAAAAACAACAAAAACAACCACTGTCCAACCCATTGAACCAATGGCTGAAGGACCAGAAACTTTAAAGGAAACCCATCACAACTTCCTTACACAAAACAATATTATCTATTTTTAGAGACTACAAAAGGCATTTATTTACAAATCCAAGTCTGTGTGATTATTTACAGTAGCATATTTTAAGTAAAACAAACTGATATCCTTATCTACTGTGGTTGCATATCACATCACAAATAACACAAGGACAAACTGTGTCCTTTCTGCTTGAGAATTACATTTTTAAGGCACTAAATTAATAGTCTGTTGAAGTTCAGTAGCTGAAACCATTGAGGTCATGAGACTAATGCTGAACACAGCTTTTCGCCCATGTTTTTAATAAAAACACTATATTACTTCATATCTGTGTGTGACAAGAAAGTCAAGAGGGAGAAACCATTGAGTGTTCTAGGCTCCATCTGAACGTGTGAGTCCGTCCTTCGGGGCAGAGCTGGGACATAAAGCACATCCCCTTTGCATGTATGCTGTGGTAGAGTTATTGAGCTGTGTTAGCTGCCTTTTCTCAGGGTAGCCGCATATTGGAGGTCTCAAAGGAAAGCCATGTCATTCTGTAGTGGAATAGTCTTGATAAAAGCTAAGTGTCTGACTCCTAGTTTCTACTATTCATACTCATTTGAAACTACTAACAGACATCTACTTTCAGTACCATAGTCTGAAATCCAGAAGAAAAAAAAAAATCACAAATTAAACCAGTCAATTGACTTCGTAAACTATTTAAGGAGGAAAAAAGGAGTGGTTAAAATATGAATCTTCATTCAACTGAATATACAAATACAAAAAGGTGCAAAGATTAAGGTATTAGCTATACTTATTTGCAGTTTAGGAAAACTTCTGATACAGCAGCATAAAATAATGAAACATTGTGGGTTAACATTGAATTTCTGTGGAGATAAAAGGAGAAAAATGTACATCTTTAGGGTTTTCATGGCTACATATGATTGATCTGTCAAAATTAATTGGTTACTACTTCAAGATTGCAGCAATTCAAGCTAGCCCCAAAGCATTAGTCAAAATCTGAGCTGCTGTGTTTTGAAGAAACTGAAATATTAAAAGTGTAAATATCAGGAAATTAATCATTATTATCATTAAGAAACAGATTAGTTCCTTCACAGATTACTCTTGTGTCTTCTGAAGTTTCTCTCCTGGCTTTAGTTCATTATTATTCAGCAAGAATTTGCTTTCTTTTTCAGAACTGATCTAAAGGCATGAATTATATTGCTATTCCTATTCAGATAATTTATATGTTTGAAGATTAGTTCTGATTGTGCTCCTGAAAATTTTGTACAGTATTTGGAAATACATAAAGATATGGATGTCTAATACCTTCAAAAACAAACAACTTATGGTCACAGATGCATACTGAACCCACTCAATAACTACTCACTCAATGACAGTAATAACAGTTCAGTAAAATACAAGCATGAGACCAACAAAATTTCACTTTCATTTTTTTCATAATATAGGGACTTTACTGCACCTCTCTAGAAGCAAATTAAACACAGCAATACATACGATGTACCATTTAGAGTTAATACGCTTCTTATATTTCTAAGTCACTATCTCTATATGAAGAGAAAATTTAAATTTCCTTACAGTACCAGTTCTGATTTCAGACACTGTAAACACAGAAAAAGGATCATTAATTCATTTTACATGTAACAGACAAAAAAACGCTGATTTTATTCAAGTCAAGCAGGAAACTGGTACTGTCCTTTTGATTCTCTGTAGTATAGTTTTCTTCACTGGAGAAAGATCCAAACCAGAGCTCCAGCCCTTGCTTCAACAATTCATAAGACATCATTGTAGTCCAAGTATGGAATCAGCTTTTGGTGGGAGACGGAAATCAGTGAACTGGTGGTAAGCTTTTGCCATTCCAGTACTCCAGTCTGCTCTTCAGAAATTATTAGGAGTTTTGCTATTAATTAATTGCTATTTATTATATTATTCAGAGATTCAATTTAAATTTATATTTGAGATTAGAATGAAGACATAAAAACCCATTATCAGTATGGCAAATAATTTAACTAAGCAAAGACGATACATCTAGAGAAACAATTATGTGGCTTGGACAAAAATGTACAGGATAGCAACTCTGTAGCATCTGGTGACTATCGGAAAACTAATATTATCAAAGGTGGAAAGGGAGAAATATAAATCTTTTGAATAGCTGAAATTTAACCTCTCTATATATATTTAAAATAAGTAAAGAACCATGTAGTTAATGGAGCTTTACAGATCCATAGGAGACAAAAATCTGATGTACCAGTTTAAACTATAAAAGACTTTCTGGAAAATAGAAACTTATCCTACCAGTGCATACATGTGCTTTCTAACGGCCAGAGAAAATGTGAAAACCACAAAACGAATGCAAGCCTACATCGAGAAATAATTAATTACAATTATGCCTATAGAAGTATGTCATATAAACCCTAAAGCAGTGTAAAATTTATTGAAAACAATTAACTATGATTGCATATAAAAGTCAGAGCAAATACTAAGGAAGACAATTTTCTTTTTTCAGTCCTTAATACTGAAGGTAGTACAAGAACACTCAAATATACTGCGTGAGTTTGATGTGTAAAAATCTGTAAAACCCCTTAAAAAAAATTTACCATCACCACCAAAATTGTGAAAGCATAAGAAACAATGCATTATCCTGAGAAGATAGATAAACAAGAGACACCTTAGTAAGGGGAAGCTGATTAAAGACAAGTAGTCGATTAAAAAATAATCACTGTCTGAGTGTGTGCTAAAGGCTCAGCACTATATGTAAAACAAGAAAGTTCAGCTTGTTAGAGTTCCATGGAAATTTTTCTAAATTAAAAGATAAAGTCAGAATTTAATTGGATTTTCAGAAAGCTATTAGCAAGGCCACTCACTCAGAAGAGTCTAAACAGGAAAAAGTGAGAGCCAGTTAAGCAACTGGAAAAAGAAAATCATGAACTTACTTAATAACAGAATATTTTTCACTGAATTGATATAAAGACATTTTCATTACAGTTCTTGTATACAGACAATATGAAAAACATATATATGCCCTCTATATACACATACAGGCATAGATGTAGAGACTGAATTTGTATATTAATTGCAGAAAAGTGCAAATTTAGCGTACCACATTTTTCCATTTGCTTAGGTGGAGCTGGGCAGCACAAGGAAGGGCTGTCGACACCCTCAGAGTCCTAAGAAAATCTCTTTTCTAACAGTTGTATCACACCGCATTTCAGCAAAAGCCATCTATGTGTCACTCCCTGTCCAGAACACCTTTCAAAGTGAAAATTCAAGAGGAAAGGATTTCTTTTAATGATTCAGTTCAGGATAATGAACAAAGCTATTTGTCTTTTTTTCTTTAATTTCTCCCCTATGCTCAATTGTATACAAATCTGAAGATAAACAAGGCTGATGATCTGGCTTAGAATAGCACCACTTCTGATGAAGGACACTTTCTACAGCTCCAGAACATGCATTTCAAGATGGACACAGTTCTCTTAGAAAGACATGTTTGTAAATCTGAAGGAAAGTTTCAAAACCTGAGTACTTTTTTCATAAGTTTTTTATTTTTGATTATTGGTTTTCAAAATTTCTTTTGGTACTCATAGGTGCTCATGTCTCTTAGACATGAGGTCATGTATTTATATACAGAACAGTTTGTTAAGTCTTTCTAAAAAAACAATCAAATACAAATATTTATATGTTTCAATTAATACAGAAGCTGTCACAGCAAGCTGGGTTTTAATCTTATTTTCAAAGACTGGAGGAATAACTTTAATTATAAGCCTGTAATTTTTCCATAAGTTTCTTAGATAATGTCTTTTTAGGTGATGCTCTGGAAACTAGAATAAGTAATAAGCAGACCTGAAATAAGTAATGATAAAATCTGGATTTTCACATAGGAGAATGTGCATACAGGCAAAACTTAGGAAAGCTAGAAAACAGGATTTTATTATATTTACAAGCCCAGCTGAGCAATCAGGAATATATTATATTGTTTTTATAAAGAGCTACACTTAATGCATATTCTAGATACTGCTACTTTACAATATGTCACAAAACCATACCACATCTGAATAAAAAACACTTTCACATCCACCAAGACTTCTACTTAAAGATTTAAAAAATCATTTACAAAGACTAACTATTTCAGTTTCCCGATATCTCAGTGAGGCGGAAAGGCACGTAACTTTTGCAGAAAGAATATCACCACATAAAAAACTGACTGTTTTCAGATGATTTCAGAAGTTTTGGTTGAGTTCCTTAATCTTTGTTTACTCTTCACTGAGCACCTCTATGAGCCTACCACTACTCCATAGAAAACACCAGCACAGATGCACTTTAAGACATGACAATGGCCCCACATCCCACAATAATTCAATGACAAGCCCAGAATACCTCATTCCAGGCTCTTGCTTTTGTTATTAGGTCACCCATCATTTGGGTGCCCTACTTCGGGATACTATAGTCCCAGGAGAATCTCTGTTTAAAGCATCTCTGTGTCTCTACTTAAATAATCTCTAGAGTTACGGAAATTAAACATTAGATATCAAATACCTATCCTAACCCTTATCCAAATCCAGATTATTTCTAACAGTATATCACATCTATTTTGCCTAAACTACTTTAAGTCTTTAAAGTTAATTATGTTAGCTTTCCTTCAAGGAGAAAGTATCCTCCTCCCCACATGCACAGACATAACTTTGCCATATCCTGGCATATTATACAATGGGATGTAGTT